CGCCTGCCCGCCGCCGGGCCCCACCTGGGCGGAGGCCTCCAGCTCCTGCACCCGGGCCTGCAGCAGGGCCTTCTCCTCCTGCAGCTGCCACAGCAGCTCCTGGCTGGGCCGCTGCTCCACGGCGCGCCTGAGCCTGAGCGTGTGCTTGCGCTCCAGCTTGCAGTCGTCCTCCGCCCTCACGAGGCTGTGCTTGAGCCGGTCGATCTGCCGGACCCGCTGTCAGCGGCACCCGGCGCACCGGGCTTGGGCTGCCTCCCGCCCCCCAGCAGCGCAGCCCCCCGCCCTGCAGGGCCCCTCCGCGCGCAGACCCCCGGAGGCCAGGCGCAGGGCGGCACCTCCAGCTGCAGCTCGCGGTTGCTCATGAGCGCGGCGCCCTTCTCCTCGCTCTGGCGGGCCAGGCGCATGGCCAGGTCGTAGTTCTCGTCCCTGCAGCGCTTGAGCTCGCGCCCGCAGGCCTCCGCCTCCTCCTTGAGCCGCTGCGCGCGCTCCTGGTGGCCCCGCAGCAGGCTGTCCTTGAGGCGCAGCTCCTGGACGGAGTCCTCCTTGGCGCTCAGCAGGGCCGTCAGGTCCTGCACCTTCTTCTGCAGCTTCGTCACCTCGCTCATCAGCAGCTGCGTCAGGCCCGACTCCCCGGAGGCGTCTGCGGCGCGCGGCATCGGGGCGTCACGCGCAGCCCCTCGGCCCCCGCGCGGCCTCCACCCGGGCCAGCCCCCGCAGGCCCGCCCGGCCAGGCCACCCCACCGGTGGGACTCAAGCCCTCGGCTGCCCGGTCGCGACCTTGGTGGAGAGGCAAGCGGCGGGGGAGGGCCGTTTGCGGTCGCTGGGGGCGGCACACCCTGCCTCGGAGGGACGGCGGTGGCCCTGGGCAAGGCCTCTGGCGGGGTGAGATGGTCTTTGGGGCAGGAAGGGCTCTGGCCCGGAAGTTGACCTGCGCTCAGGGCGAGGGACCCCGGCGTGCAGCAGCGGTGAGCCTGCCAGGGCCCCGGGGCGGGGGACGCAAGAGGACGGCCCTTCTGCAGCATGGCTGTCCCCCAGCGCCAGCAGCAGAGAGCAGGATGCGGGCAGGGCCCGAGACTGCTGGGCGGCCCTTACGGTTAAGTAGCGGGAGGCCTGCAGCCCTGGCCCCGCCCCGGCCCCGCCCCAGGCCATGACTCCACCCCCGGTGAGGGCAGGAGCCGCCCGCCTCACCGATGATCATGGAGAAGACCCGGGTGGGCTCCTTGCCAGTGACCTTCTTGTAGAGCTGCGGGTAGTAGAGCTCCAGGCTCTCGAGGAAGGCCACGTAGCCCTTGTGGCCAGTGCGCTGCAGGATGTCCAGGAGCACGCCTGCAACCAGAGGGGCCAGGCTGGACCCTGCCGGGCGGGGCCAGGGCGCGGTGTGGCGTGGGGCCCGCCGCGAGCGGGGCAAGGCGGGGCACCGACCCACTTTGCGCTTGCGGATGACCAGGTTGGGGTCGCTGAGCACCTGCTCCTCGTCGTCGGGGTTCAGCACCTTGCACTGCCGCAGGTAGGGGGTGATGCGTGAAGGGTCGATGGCGGAGATGAGCCTCACCCGGAAGCCCTCCAGCGCGCTCCAGCACTCGTCCTCGTTCTCGTAGTCGGACATGGCGCCCGCTGGCCGGCCCTGGGGGCAGGCGCCGGGGGTCCCGGGTGTGGGTGTGCCGGCCCGGGCTCCTGCGCGCCCGCCCCTGCGTCCAGGGGTCCCCAGCAGCACCCTGCCACCGCCTGCCCTCTCCGGGGCCTGGGCTGCCTCGGCCACCGGGCTCGCCTGGTAAGCAGGGGGCGGCCAGCGACCCTGGTAAGCAGGGGGCGGCCAGCGACCCTGGCGCCGCGGCTGGCAGCCACGGCCGACTCCGTCCACGGAGGGGCGAGCCGCGGGCGCCCCGGGCGCAGCCCCCCACCTGCACGGCGCCAGCCCGGGAGCCACTTCCTCATTCCCACTCGGGTGCTCACGGCCAGCCGCTCCCCTCTTCCTGTGGTGATGCAACGGCCGCCGGCTCAGTCGCGGCTGTCGGGAAGGGACGCTGCGCCCCCCCGCTGGGCAGGGCCGCTGGCAGCCTGAGGCCAGGCACCCTCAGGCTCCCCCGTCCCCTTGCCACGCTGTCGGGACCGTCACGCAGACGGCAGCCCAGGGGCCGCCGCCCCCAGCGGGCTAGAAACCCTCCCCGACCCCAGCGCGAGCCGAGGTCGGTCCCCTGGGTCGGGGCTCTGGCCCGGCCCCTCCCGCCCTCCGCAGCAGCCAGGCACAGGCGCCCCTCCAGCGGCCTGCATCACCCGTCCAGCCCGGGACAGGTGTCGGAGTCACCCTGGCTGGCCGCCCAGTCCTGGAGGCTGGACCCAGCCCGCCGTGAGCCGAGAGCCCACGGCCCCCGCGCCCTGGGGCTCACCCGGACCGGACAGGGAGCAGGTGCCAGGTGGCGGGGGGGGACGGATGGCAGCGCTGAGGTCATTTGGTGCCCGTCTGGGAGCTGGGCTCCAAGGGCCTGACCCAGCCCAGGGCCAGCACGGGCCCGGAGCCCAGTGCCCCGGCCGCCTTTGGTCGAGGGCGCCCGTCCGCCTACCTCAGGTGCCGGCACCCCACGCAGCTGGCCGCCAGCCGGCCTCCGGTCAGTGAGTGGAGGGAGGCGTGCCGGGAAAGCCTGGGCACTTCCTGAGGCTCCTGACCTGGGTTGGCGCCGCCCTCCCTTTCGCCAGCCAGGCGGGGCCAGGGCGCGGGAAGTGGAAGTCTGGGCCCACGAGGGAGGCCAGGCCTGCCCAGCAGCCCTGGGCGGGCCACACTGGTGTCCCGGAATCCCCTGGGAGGGCTGGCCCTGGTCTACCGCTCGCCTCCCTGTTGGGCCAGCGTCTGGGTGGCAGCCTGCAGTCTGGACAGCGCAGGCCTCCGGGGGCTGCAGCGTGGGTAAGGTGGGCAAGGCCCAGCCACGCTGGCCCCCGGCGCTGGTCAGCCCACCCCGGCCGTGGACCGGCTGCACCCCTGTGGCGAGGCAGCAGGCCCCAAAGCTGGCCGCTCCTGGGACTCCGCCGGGGCCGCCGCCCAGCGGGGAAGCCCCAGCTACCCTCGGTTGGCCGTGCCGCCCAGTGCCAGCGGGGGAGGGCGGGCGGGCAGCCTCGCCAGGCCCTACGGACCCATCAACACCACCCTCGCCCTCAGCGCCCCTCCGGGTGGCTCAGAAGGCCGCGAGGCCAGACGGCGGCTGAGCGGGCCCCGGGAGGGGCGCCCCTCCACACTCGGGGCTCCTCAGCGGCACCGGCTCCTGAAGGGCCGGGCAGCGCACCGGCAGACACCCGGCCAGCGCCTGCCGTCTGCGGCGGG